GTGGAGCCCAAAAGGGCTTGTTGACCAGGAAAAGCATAACCAGTGTAGGGAGGGAAAAAAAAGCACAATGAATGGGGAGCATCAGGGCCAGCACCACAGAAGCACAGCGCCAGCACAACAGCAATACCAGCGTGAATGGGACCTCATTGCAACAGAGGAGCCAGAGACGTAATGAACATAACGGCCATACGGGGTCAGACCAAAGGTCCATCAAGCCCAGTATCCCGTCTTCTGACTGTGGCCAGTGCCAGGTGCCCCAGCGGGAATGAACAGAACAGGTAATCATCAAGTGATCCATCCCCATTGCCCATTCCCAGCTTCTGGCAAACAGAGACTAGGGACACCATCCCTGCCCATCCTGGCTAATAGCCACTGATGGACCTATTCTCCATGAACTTATCCAGTTCTTTTTTAAACCCTGTTATAGTTTTGGCCTTCACAACATCCTCTGGCAAGGAGTTCCACAGATTAACTGTGCGTTGTGTGAAAAAATACTTCCTTTTATTTGTTTTAAACCTGCTGCCTATTAATTTCATTTGGTGACACCTAGTTCTTGTGTTATGAGAAGGAGTAAATAACATTTACTTTCTCCACACCATCATGATTTTATAGACCTCTATCAGATACCCCCTTAGTCATCTCTATTCTAACCTGAAAAGTCCCAGTCTTATTAATCTCTCCTCATACGAAAGCTGTCCATACCCCTAATCATTTGTGTTGCCTTTTTCTGTACCTTTTCCCATATATCTTTTTTTTGAGATGGAGTGACCTCATCTGCACGCAGTATGCAAGATGTGGGCGTACTATGGATTTATATAGAAAATATCATATTGCATCTATCTTATCTATCCCTTTCTTAATGATTCACAACATTTTGTTTGCTTTTTTGACTGTTGCTGCACATTGGGCGGATGTTTTCAGAGAACTATCTACAATGACTCAGATCTCTTTCTTGAGTGGTAACAACTAATTTAGACCCAATCATTTTATATGTATAGTTAGGATTATGTTTTCCAGTGTGCATTACTTTGCATTTATCAACTCTGAATTTCATCTGCCATTTTGTTCCCCAGTCACCCAGTTTTGTGAGATCCCTTTGTAGCTCTTCGCATTCTGCATTGGACTTAACTATCTTGAGTAGTTTTGTATCATCTGCAAATTTTGCCACCTCACTGTTTCCCCCTTTTCCTAGATCATTTATGAATATGTTGAATAGGACTGGGCCCAGTACAGATCCCTGGGGGACACCACTATTTATCGCTTTGCAATCTAAAAACTGACCATTTATTCCTACTCTTTGTTTCCTATCTTTTAACCAGTTACCAATCCATGAGAGGACCTTCCCTCTTATCCCATGACAGAGCCTTTGGTGAGGGACCTTGTCAAAGGCTTTCTGAAAAAAATCTAAATACACTGTATCCACTGGATGCCCCTTGTCTACATGCTTGTTGACCCCCTCAAAGAATTCTAGTAGATTGGTGAGGCATGGTTTCCCTTTACAAAAACCACGTTGACTCATACCCAACAAATGGTGTTCATCTGTGTATCTGACAATTCTTTACTGTAGTTTCAACCAGTTTGCCCAGTACTGATGTTAGACTTATCGGCCTGTAAATGCCAGGATCACCTCTGGAGCCCTTTTTAAAAACTGGTGATCCAGTAAGCGGAGATAGAACATAGCGTGCTGACTCCGCATGGAGAACAGATGCTGACTTGTTGCCCCAGTTTAAGAAGGGGAATACCAATGGCTCTCACCCCCTTCGATGCCACGTAGGCAGCTCCCTCTGTGGAACATCTGCACAAAATGGCTGCTGCTCTCTGCACGCAGAAAACGAGCGTAGGAGTTTAAAAGGGTAACACAGAGAAAACAAAAAGCACCACAGGTTCACATCTACCCACCCCACAGAGGAAAAAGGGGATACAAAGTGAAGTCCCATGACTACGCTCGGATACGTGCGCCTACACTAACCTGGGACCATAAGGGGCTCAATATGGTCCGATAGCATCTTCCAGGATTCAAAGGGGTTTCTTAGGAAATTGTTGCTAATTGACATACATTATTCAATTTACACGTACAAGACAGGGAAAAGGCCTTCTCATCATGGGATGTATCAGAGCACTGTGCTGAGCACCAGGCTGTCGGGTTTCCCCCTGCGGATTGGCTTTGTCTTCCCACTCCCTTACTGGAGGTAAAAAGCCATAGCAGCCTACAGCCAAAGGGCCAGGCCAGTCTCTGAGGATTATGATCAATTTAAAGCGGCCTTGCTCCTTAAATTTGAACCGACTCCCCAGGCTGATCGGAAAAGATCTTGGGAGGGGGAGGGGTTGGGGTTCTAAAGAAGAAGGGGAGGACTTAGAAAGAGATGGCGACTCAGCTGGGGCATTACCTCTGCAAACGGGGCAAAGGCAGGGGGAGTCTCTCCCCGAGAGGAGCTGTATGAAATGGTCGGGTTGGAACAGGTTTAGGATCTGTCCCCACCATGATCTTAAAAGGTGGGTAGGGCGAGGAAGCCAAAAGACCTCAGTGCCACAGGCAGACGAGTATGTGGATACCAGGCCTGGTTCTTAAAGGAAGCCCAAGGGGATTGGCCCAAGCATGGGACCCAGGTGAGGGGAATATGCAAGTGCAGCTCAGCGAGGGGGAATGGATAATCTGGGAAAGGGGGCAGCCCCAAGCTGACTCAAAGAGTTAAAACCCTTCCGGTCTCTGGGAACAGGTCACCAGTGAACAAGCTGCCCAGGTTTCACGCGCCAGGGGGCTGGCCATGCTGCACAGCTGGCTAACATACCGACCGTCCAGCTGGAGAGCCAGCCCGAATGGCAAAGGTCTGGTGTTTACTAGGGTATTCAGCCTTGAGAGGGAGGGGAGTTCCACAGACTGTGCATCAGGCATACAATGTACATGTGACTGAATTCACTCGGCCATCTGTGCACAACTTCTCTTCTTCATGGGAACAGAAAACCCCCATCCCCAATGCAAGTTAAGGGGGAAGACATTGTAGGGGTGGAAGGACACTAGCCGGGCCCATACCCTAGTAGAACCCCCAGGGGTGAAATCACATCAAGTGCTGGAAGGGAGATAGACATGGATGAAAGCTGCCAAAGGTAGAACCATTTGCAGAGCCCTTAGCCCAGACCCCAGTAAAGATCACTCAGAACTATCAGGGGCCATTGCAATTGAGATTTCATAAAGAGGTGATTTGGCAAGCTTGGGGCAGAGCCCAGGCCTGCTGGCTGCTGCCTGGGCAAACAGAAGGCTTTGTTAGCCCACAGGAGCTAGGAGGAAGGTGGGGGCAGCTCCTCCTCACTGCTTGTTCTGAGCTGACCTGCTCTTTATACTTGCACAATGCCTGGGAAACGGGAGAAACGTGTCCGAGCGGGAAAGGGGAAGGACTTCTGCACAGGGCCCCACAATCTGCATCACATTGGCTCTGATGCACTAGGCCAGAGGCAGTGGCCCAGGGCCAAGCCACTGCCTTCCGTTACTGAGGGGTTATGCAACCAGGGATTGTTCCAGAGGACACAGAGTTCTGACCCATAAGGGGATGGGCACAGAGAGGACTCTGGCTCTGGAGAGAGCACAGGATTGCTCACCAGGAAGAAAAAGGTTTCCTCATATGACACACAGCGCTCAGGGATGAGGACGGATATCCTGAGAAGGCATACCAAGAATTGGAGGGGGGCAGGTGGATCCTTCCCAGCCCTGATTTTGGGTAACCAGAGCCCAGCAGGAATGAGGGATCTCATTCACAAAGAATGCAAAATTTGCTCACATACAAAAGTTACTCATAAAACATCTCTGTCAAGACATGCTCCAGCTGGTCTCCACAAAGCACAGTCTCAACAGAGGGGAGCTGCCGTAGAGAGATCTGCACAGAGCAACTCACATGTTCTATAACGGTAAAGTTCTGTAGCCTTTTACAATGTCCACCTGCAAGGCCATCTCACACCTGAGTGCAGCAAGCAATCTTGCATACCCTGGGGCTGCTCATCTAAGAAAGCCCTAGACATTTCAGCATCGGATTTCCCAGCCCTCCTCCATGTCTGAGCATGAGGTGCAATATTTGAACCTTCCTGCAGTTTTGGCACTCCGGGGGTTATAAAACCATCTGTCAGAATACGCAATTATTTCATCACACGCAGTTTCACCAAAATGAACAAACAGTCTAGTTCATCGATTCCCAGACAAGGGCCAAAAAGAAAACATGCAAGAGTCTCAACAAGAGAAATTTTAGAGGCCATAATGCGTGAGTCATTGAGACTGAGGCCACCTTTATGCTACAAACTTTGGGTTGAGGCAAGTTACGTGGGTCTCAAGGCCTGGCAGTCAGTACATGACTGAGGCGTGTGCATACTGGTGTTGATGTGCAGGGCATGAGGCTTAAAGGGTTTCAGGCAGTTTGGGGCCCCCCAGCCATGGAGTTTTAGCAGGGAATACATCCCCAACTCCCCTACAGCCACAGGAGTATTAGAAATACACAGAATACCACTCACTCTCAGTTCTGAGGAAGAATCCAAACTCAGAGCCCCCTCCCACCCCCTAAAGCATGCAAGCCAGCTGTGCCGCTTCAAAGGATAATTCTTAAATACCCCCAGACAGCAATGCAGTCTGCACACCAGCATGAGAGGAGGCAAAGTTTGCTGGAAACAAGAAAACGCTACTTTAAAAAATAATAATAATTATGCACTGAACTAAACCCTCCCGTGTCTTTAGAAACTAGCAGGCTCCATTTGCACCCCACCCTGAGTTAAGGGAGAGGAAAACAAACGGGAATCCTTGCCCCCAGAGCCCAAACGCAGGGAGGGAGGCTGGGGAAGCTGCAGTCTCTGCAACACCAGCATGCAGCAAAGAAACGGGTGGAGGGGAAGCGAGGGCTCCAACCCCAGGCTACCCCCGGGGCCAGGCTTACTTCTCCCTCTCCAACCCCCCGTCTTTGGGCGCTTCCCAGAGAGGAAGCGGGGGAAGTTTTCATGGGGAGCGGGTCTGGGGGGGCCCTTACCTGTCCCGAGTAGAAGACAGCGACCAGCCCCAGGGGGAGGCAGCAGCAGAGGATGTTGAAGATGGACCAGTACTTGTAGGAGGGCACGGAGTCGAGGTCGGGGATCTCCAGGCGGGCGTAGGGCAGAGAGCTGGGGGGGTCCATGGCTGGGGAGCCGGTGCGGGATCGGCAGGACGGGCAGAGAGGAGTGGCGTGGCCCCGGGCAGCGGAGAGGCAGGGAAGGCGAAGAGCTGGAGATCAAGGCGGAGGGAAGCAGCCCAACACCTCAAACCTCCCCTTGCAGCGACGCGAACAGACCCTGCTCCCGTTTCCCTACTTCGCTCTCTATCCTGTACAAGCGGTGCGGGGCCAAACCGCACCCACTTGCACAACGGGAGCGTTGCTATTGTGGCGTCACACCGGGGTTTTCCCACGCGGTGGAACCTGGGCCAGGAACCGGCCCGCTCCAGCGCAATCGGCGGAAACCCACGTGCGGGGGCTGGGCGCGTTTTAATGAGTGCGGCCTCGCCGGACCCTCCCGCGGAGCCCCGCCTGCTTCCAGCCAGCGCGGCAGCCCCCCAGGCAAGCCCAAATCCGGGGCGAAGCGTGGGAGGGAGCAGTAGGGGCTGGGAGCTCCTGGCTGAGCTGCAAAGCCTTGGGGCTGGCTCGCTCACCTGGCCCAGCTGCGAGAAGCGGCTCCTTACGGGAACAGATCGAGGGAAAAACCCTTAAAGGGCAAGGCGGCATGACAAAATGAATTGCCCCAAGTTGCCTGGCGGTGCAGCCACTGCGGGACTTAGCCGGCTTTTGCACGTCCACACTGCGCTCCTTGTGTCGGTGCACGGCCTCACCAGGAGCGCTCGCACCGATTGCACCGCCAGTGTGAGATGGCTTCTGCACGGTCGGTGTCAGCAACACAGGGTCTACACTGACACTGCCTCGACCTAACTACATCACCCTGAGCGCTACGCTGCTGGCGGAGGTGGAGTTATGAAGTCACTGTCCTGGGCACGTTACATTGGTGGGAGCGACATTTTAGTGTAGACTCTTACAGAGTGAGGTCGACATAAGCTGCATTACGTGGACCTCGCTCTGCAGTGTAGACCATGGGCAGGCTCAGGTGCTTAACCTGTTTCTGGTGAGATTGTTTGGGCTTGTCTATACTTACACGCTGGTTCGGCAGCAGGCAATCGAACTTCTGGGTTCGATTTATCGCGTCTTGTCTGGACGCGATAAATCGAACCCAGAAGTGCTCGCCGTCGACTCCGGTAATCCTGCTCGGCGCGAGGAGTACGCGGAGTCGACGGGGGAGCCTGCCTGCTGCGTCTGGACCGCGGTAAGTTCGAACTAAGGTACGTCGACCTCAGCTACGTTATTCACGTAGCTGAAGTTGCGTACCTTAGTTCGAATTGGGGGGTTAGTGTAGATCAGGCCTTAGATACTTGTCTAATGCCCCACAAAACAATCCAGGGGACACGGGGGAGAGACAAGGGCCTCCTGTGTAACTTTTAGCCTTGTGTTTGGGTCCTCCCCTGTGATGC